AGTGGTTTGTGGTCTCTTTGGAGGTTTTGGAACTCGCCTTCTGAACCACTCTCCTCCAAATACCGCTTAACTTCGGCCTTTGAATCACAGAGCTTACTTGAAAGTCCGTTCAGACCGCTCGCTATCGCTGCTGAACAATTTGTCATTCGGCGATAAAACTTTTCATCTTATGCACTACCATGGTCGAACTACCCATGATTTTTTACCAGAAGATAATTTGAATTACTTAAACGATTATTTAAACTTCTCCTCGTCCTCCAGTTTTCTTATCTTCACTTCTTGCCTGTCCTTTTAATTTAAAATTTTGTAACTAACTAAGGTCTGCTGGTGCTCCTGCACTAATGCTATTGGTGATGCTACAACTTCTGTGTGCCATGGGAAAGCATTTGGATCAGGCTGAGGAGCAATTAGTTTTTGAATTCTGATAAAAGTTGAGCAGCTAAGCGAATAAAGAATAGCGTCTAACTATGTTCTAGTTCAAAATTTTTCGCTGAGGTGTAAAAAAAGATACGCGTGATTTTTTTTTTGTACCTGTAATACGCATATAGAGTTGGAAAATTGACGGTTGAAATGTAAAAGCCAATTGTTTGGGCCACTTCGCGCAGCTGATCTTGTTCAGTCTGAAATTAATGAATAGCCTCGGGAATGGCATTGTGACAGTAGTGTACAACACAACCAATAACGAAATGCGTAGTTACACTAAAAATGTTGGGACAAAAGTTAAGGTGACAAAAAAGATTATCTTGTGTTATCACGGCCTTGTGTGCCAGAAAGAAGAGTTGTTCTAATTATGAAGGAAGAATGTGAGACAGAAATGGACAAAGCGGATTATCCCTTTAGTACTGCATGAATGCAACTTACTGTTCGCGCAATATCAAAAGAATACAGAGAAGACGGCTAGTGAGGTGAAAAGATTCATTTGAACAGTTACAAAACTGTTTGGTTCAGATGGACTAGAAAAAACAGAGAAGAGCGGAAAACATGCAGCGGCGTCAGCAGCTTGAAAAAACGCGCCGATGAAAAGCAGCTGATGAAAAGTCAAGGCAGAAAATTTTTTGGTCCTTAATTTTGCAAAAACTTTTGGTCCTGATGTGTGACTATGCAAGACCTAATTCTTCAAGCTCATACAGCTTGGTTCAAAATGCGTCAGTGCGAAAATATTTTTCGACTTTGAAGGCTTGTGTGTTTAGTCACAGAGATACTTTGGAAAGAGCTCCTAGCAATTCTTTAGCTGACTTCGATAGTTTGATGTTTTTTCAGAGTCGTAGGTTAGGTTTGTTTTTTTGGTGTGTGCATCAAAGGAGATGTAAACGTCATCAACTCGCCCGAAGCGTTGCAAAGCTGGTTCGTATTTATGTGTTGTGGATAAAGAATTGATAGAGAATAAAATGCAACAGGGGTTTAGATCCTGATTATGCGCTTTTGCATATATGTAAGTGCGAAAACGCACATTGCGACGACCCCGATGTGTGTGTGTGTGTGTGTGTGTGTGTGTGTGTGTGTGT